AAGAATTATTGGTGCATGAAGCTTAAAGAGATAGGGGACTTATTTCTTTACTGCAAATAATGTGCTCACTAATTTCTCTTTTCTGAGTCTGTGATTCTGATGGAAATAGTTTACAACATGAGGAGGATGAAACAGAAGGGGTACGTGCAAGATCAACTTGAATCTAGTAGAAAGGATAAATGAAAAGTACAAAGATTAGAAGAAAGGTAGAAAATCCCAGGAGGCAGAGGTGTATTCACAGCAAGTGGTGGAGAGTCAGAGCTCCTGCATTCTGCCTTTCCTGTTTGTAGCAGTGATCTGGGGCTATACAACCTCCCTTCTGTGAAACAGACCTTGCACTATCCTTCTGTGCAAAATCTATCATTCTGAGCTATCCCGCTGTATAAAAATTACCTTTTAAGTGGCTAAGTAGACACCCAGCTATATTCCTTTCTTCGTCTTTCAAGAAACAATGGGAGTAACAGCACTTGCCTGCCTTACTAGAGTGCTGAGAGCTTTAATTAATGTCTCTAATTCAATTTGAACTCCTTGGATAAAAGGCGCTGCCTTGTGACAGAAAAGGTATTGCCTAAAATAGAATATAATTAACACAGAGATATCAATCACAGTGAAATTAAGTGTACATTCAAATACAACTTGCACTTTACAAAAAGTACTTGCCTATTTTTCCTCCAAGAATCCTGAAGACTCACAAGACAAAGAACATTTAATGTCTGAGGCTGGATTTGTATTAGAATAAGGCCATCTTAAACCACCTAACAAACTAAAAGGGGTTGTAATGGAAACCTCTATTTGCACTAGTGGATGTGCCTTCCTGATGGACGATGCTGGAAACTGAGTGGAACATGACTCAGAATCAGTACATCTATCATTTTCTTCTCCCAGTTCTTATTTACTGTGAACTGCAGCCCATGTCTTAGCTCACCCACTGATCATGTTTATTAACAGATGTGCCAATTGCATGATCATGTTTGCTGACATGAACCAGAAAGACCCAGATGACTGCATTGCTCTGTAGCACTCCTGCATGAAAATGGACTTTATAGCTTGGATTTTTGTTAACTGCTGTATTACAAAGCTTTCTGACACCTCAAGAGGGTTGTCATTCACTGCTTATAGGTCAGGAACACCTAGTGAGCCATGTGGGCAGCAGGACTGCCTTTTGTTAGGTGCTATAATCAGATGATGGCCTTTCCAACAGGTTCATGGTCCAAGTAGTCAAATACTATTATGTCTCCATGCTGATAATTGCAAAGCAAAAAAGCATGTGCCCAAGATCATAGAGGGTGCAGAACTGAGCAGAATGCTGGATTCCTGGATCAAAACCCAGTGTCTGGCTCCCCCAAACCTCCCATTTAGTGCAGAGATGGCTTTTGTGCCACATTTAGCTTTTACTTAGTCTTGCCTCTCCTACCCAAGGTCTGTATACTTGGAGACATCACCTCCCTACCCCTTTTTCCCCATCCCCTTTGCAAAATCCCCAGCACATACCGCACATCAGTGGAGCCCCGTAAAGGTACCTAACAAATTAATTTCAGATTCAATCTTGTTAGGAGTTAGATTGAATGCACCTCATATAATACTGCCTTAGACACAAAATAATCCCACTTTAGTAAGCTTTATAGCTTCCATAGGGACCAGCCCCGTGGTGTGTATTAATCTTTAATGTGAAACAACATCTCTACAGCAGCTACAGGGGGGAAAAAGATACTACTAAAAAATTAAAGTTGATGGTGTGATAGTTGTCTAGACCCAATTGTGCTCTACCATCCTCCATTGCCTAAGGCACCATTCCCTGCTCTCAGCACTGATCCAGCTTCCAGACTGGAGATATGTCCTTTTCTTCTAGTGATTTTAAGGCATGTTCTCCCTGTGTCTTAATCTGTGGTTAAGATCTATCACAACTCATATCATCCTGACACTAACTTCAACCGAAAAGGAAAGGAGGGGAGGATGAAGAGGTGCGTGGGGGGAATTAGTGAGTATCTCCTCTCTTTTATAAGTTGATATTTCCCCAATGTGTGATGCTCGCATGTGGGAGGACACGTTGGGATTTCTCTGAAGCCCGTTTTATTCAGCTCTTCTCATAGTTCAGTTCACACTTGCACTGCCTGGGAACTGGAGGGGAGTTATCACTCCTCTTAAGTATGTAAAAGCTCCTCTCTCTGCAATGGAAATTCAATAGAAAGGAAAATGTTTAAAGGAAAACTGGTCCAGGCTGGTTGATGAAGGAAGTAGTTTTGGATTAGTCTCATGAACAGACAACCAAGCAAGTTTGGACAATGCGTACCGAAGAACTGATGGTTATCAGAGGAAATGTGCATGCCCATCTAATGGCAAAAAAGCTGAGTTTGAAGCTGCTTACTGTGGTGGGACATGCTGCAGATGTGCAAAGAACAGAAAGGCAGAGAAGTAGCCTGGATGGAGAAGTGGGAGGAATGGCTTTCTGATCTGGAATTTGGAAATGCTGAGGGTGGGATGTAGCTGGGAGCATTTCTCAGTAATCACCTTGGGATCATGACCAGTGTGAGTGGAAGCAGATATGTACCGTAGCCCACTTGGAATATGCTCTATTCCTTTTGGTGTGGGGCTAAAAACTCCCCAAACCCTAGGTTTGTAAGGTAAAGTACAACCACTCTTTTCTAATAGGAGAGGGACTGAAGTGGCAAGATCCACCACTCTTATGGGTACAGTAAGAGTCAGTGGTGAAGGCTACTATTAAATACATGCCTTCAGAACAGAAACAACCTCTTTCAGTTAGGAGCTACAGGTACCATTAGGTTTAATAACAGTACTATTCCATCTGCGTTTGGAAAGAAGTTTAAATGTGCCCAACAGAAAAAGGGAACATTCATTGACTTTCCCATGCTTAATGTTTTTCATTCCGACATGTAATGCAACAGCTGACTGTCGGTTTTGACCAGACTTACACAACTCAGCTTTGGTAAGTGCTGCAGTGCTCACTGTAGCTCCACAAACACATGCTGTGCACACGTGCAGGCTCCCACACACACACTCAGCACTTGTGCTCCCTGTCACACTCCCGGCACAGGAGATGAGCCATGGGCTGCAGCTCTTCTGTGCTCCTGAGGGAAGATCCTGGAGCAGGAGACAGCCACATCAGCCACAGATGGTGATGCTCTTTGATCTATACTGTGCTTACACCAGCCAAGGTCTCATGTTCACATGCAGTGCTGCAAGTGTGCATGACACCTCTAGCACACCTCAGTTTGGCCTCTCCTACACTCTTGGCAACACCTTTCCTCTTTGGGAATCACAAACTTTTAGTTTGAGTGCTTATGGTGGACTCAGACTCAAAACCAGAATAGTTTCTGGGATGTACAAATAAGCCTGACACCAAATCTCCCTGTAGCAGAGCTTTGCATAGCCTAATTTGTCCTGCTTTAAAGAATAGCTGCAGTCTCTCTGCACTCTAATCTGCAGAAATAGATGGGTATCACTTGTCCTGAGGAGAACTTTTAGCCAGGTTTGTGCTCCCGGAGTGGGGGATACAGCCTTAAGATCTCTCTGCCTGGCTGGACATGCCCACAGTGTTGGCACATCCTCCACCAAAACCAGCAAGGCAGCCAGATGGACAGGAGGTGGGCAGGAGGAGGAACATGTCCTGTATACGGAGAGGACTTTTTCAGGGCATCATCAGCAACAAGGAGCACAACCCAGCACGCTGGGATGCTGCTGCAGCTGCAGTTAGGAAGCAGAAAGGAAGGGTATCCATGTCAGGTGTGGGGTGTCAGCTAAGCAAGCTGCTCACCTTCCACCAACAGAGCACTCAGCTTCATTCAGAGAGGGGCATCATGCCAACAGCATGACTGCGGTGGTGGATGATCTAATGGCTGAAACATTGCGAATGGGAGTCAGGAGATGAGGGCTCTCTTCCAGCTGTATCCATGGCTTGCTGTGTAACCTTTGGCAAGGCATTTCACCCCTCTGTTTCCCTTCCCACTCATCATATGTCTTGTCTGTTTAGCTCTTAAACACATTGGGGAGAGGAGCTGGCTCTGAGCAGGACTAGACTCAGCCATGATTTGATGTGGGGATGCGGTGGGACAGCCACTCTCCCATCACATGAATGACAACATGTCCTGCACCAGGTGCTGTGAAGCATCCCCTTAAGCTCCCTAGTAAATCTCCTGCACTGAATATGCATGTTCACTGTGTCGTCCTGCAGAGCCTTGATCTTGAGAAAAGCCTGGAGGTCCTACTGTAATCGAAATAACAACAGACCCTGTTCCCCCTCCATCAGACACACACCTCCCAAACAGCCAGGCAGGAAAGCGGGTTGAGGTGATTTTTCTCCTTCAAAGTTTGGCAGGATTTCATAGTCATGTGTGTGTCTGTGTGTCCGCATGTGCTCGTCACTGAAGCCTGGGTAATTATTTTGTTTTATTTCTCTTTTTGGCAACACTTTAAAGTAAGAGCTGGGCCTTTATAGATTGCTCAGGTTGCACGGAGTATGGATTACAGATCATCAGAGAGACATGAAAGCAGAAGACACGTTTCTCTGGCATAGCATTAAAGGGACAGGAAAGGGGTAATTGTAGCCTAGGGTGCAGCCACCTTCTGCGCCCAGCTTCACTCGCCTCTGCGGCACTGCGGAGAACTGCACGAGGGAAGTGATGGAAAAGCTGGGGTGAGGATGTCTCAGGTCAGGACCTGGTTATTTCAAAGGTGATGTATGCTCAGGAGGTTAAAGACACCACTTAGGTGTATGAATAAAACACTGCCAAATACTCTAAGCTGCAACACAGGCAGAGGGAAGTCTTTTAAAACTTGATTTTTCATGTCTATTTTCACTCTGAGAGACAGTTGTCAAAGGATCAAAGCAATTCCTGTTTTAAACTCTCTCTTTCTCTCCCTCCTCCCTCTCCTCCCCTCCATTTCTCTCTCTCTCTCTTTTTCCTTCCTCCTCTTCCCTCTCTTTTTCAACAGGACTCCACACAATGGAGCAAGAATGAGAGGAAAAAGGCAGACAGAAAAGCATGAACTGGAGGCTTGTTGAGTTCCTCTACCTCCTGTTTATATGGGACCATATACTAGTACAGCCCTCCCACCAGGACCCAGCTGCTACCAACCAACATGTCTCCAAGGAGTTTGATTGGCTTATTTCAGACAGGGGGCCTTTCCACCACTCACGGAGCTACTTATCCTTTGTGGAAAGACATCGTCAAGGATTTACAACCAGATATAAAATATACAGGTACGTTGGTTTCCTACAGAACCTGGAGCTTGGATAAGTTGTTAGGTAGTAGGAGCTCAGCCAGTTCCCATGGGCTCGAGGCTTGTAGTCAATTGGAGACACGTCATTGTCCTTGCTCCATCTGGAAGCACTTCTTTTGTTCTTCATGGTCCTCAGCTGGAATGCTCTGATAGTGAGATGAAGGTAGTACCATGTCAAAAAGGGGCCAAGGGTGTGGGTGTACCTTATTTGTGGTGACAGATAAGTTTATAGCTAGGTTCACAAGCGTGTTTGTCAAAACAATGTACTGATGGGCAGACCAAGCCTCTGTACCAAACTCATACATGTGAACTGCCAATAGCTGAAGGTTCACATGGATGAGAACAGACATAAAGATGTCTAGATACACATCAGTATGGCAGTTCCCACACTGCTGAGCATGATGAGCTTTAGCTGTGTAGTCTACCACAGACCTTTGCAGATTATCTCCATGTAGGAGCTGGATTTGCCCCAGAACTGTGATCTTGGTCTAAAAGACTGCCAACTAAAATCTCCAGAGAATAGGTAGAATCTGGATTTTCCTTTGCCTTCTAGGTTTTGAAGCCTTTGTTGTTGCCTGTTTCCAGCTCTTCTTGCCCACTGTGATATCCAGAAACATGCTTTTCTTTTCTCATTTTAACATGAAAAGCTGGGGTGCTCATATGAGCCTCCTATTAACACAGCAAGTGCTTCAGAGTGAAGGGAAATAAGCCAGCAAATGTCATGAGATTTGTGCTAAAACCCAAAAAGACTGCAAAACCCTCATAGACATGTGCACATTTACATAATTATATAGTCCTAGTGTGTTTCAGAAAGACACTTGCAAACACAACTGTGCAAACTAGTAGGTAGGAAAGCACTAGTGAATAGCCTAGTGGCAACAGGCATGCAGACACACATAGGTGATGACTGGGGGGAGCAGGGAAACCACATGTGTTTAGGCTGTGTTCCCCACAGGCAGAGAGCCAAAAGCACTTGCAGAATAACAATGATGTGTAAGACATCATCTATATGTGGGGAAGAAAAATGAGTTGTGCCTGTCCCATGGCCTCCAGGGAGTGCAGCATCCACTCCCCTCACACCAGCCTGCAGAGCAAGGGCAGGTTAACATGGGCTGAAGATATTGTCCTGGCTTGTTCTCTTCATTCAAAACAGCTCAGGGGGGAAAACAGCCCCAGACCTAGATATTATGCTGCCATGCATCCACTAAGGATGTCTCACTGTCTTTGCCTGCACAAAGGAGCAGAGAAAGAATGCCTTTTCAGAAAGACTTTCTTCCTGGTTTCAGAAAGTCTTTCTTCCCAGCTCTCCTCCTGCCCTGCCTGACAGCACACGCTGTGATTGAGGCTGCAAATCTCTGCCCCACACAATGCCCCTGGTAGAGGCTCTGCCCTTTGCTAAAGAGCAATTCAGCCCTGAATGCCACCGCACCAGTCCACAGGGGCTGGAGTGGGAGAGAAATGCACGCAGTGTATGTGTTCAGGCACATCTATGAACTGTCACTGTAGGTCAGGCCAGAGATCCATCAAGCCTGGGATTCTGTCTCAAAGAATCATGGAAAAATGGGTCTGGAAGGACCTTGAGAGGTCATTTAATCCATGCCTCTTCCCCAAGGCAGACTCAGACATACCTGTGTCACATCTGACAGAGGTTTGTGGGCAACTTGAAAGGTTTCCTGTGACAGAGGATTCACACCCAGAGCAGGCAGCCTGCACTACAGCTTTGCTGTCTCCACTTTTATAAAGGAGCTAAAATGTTTGTATGTGAAGCCTGTGATTTCTAGTTGTATCTGGTGTGTGGTGAGAAGCAAATTCCCCTTTGGTTTGTAGGAGGCTGGTAAGAATTTGAAGGCTTATCTCAGTTAAGGATGAACTGTATATATGGGAAGCAGAAAGGGGTCTGTCTCCGTTACTGCTGCGTATGCCAAAGCACTTGTAGCATGGGGAGAAGACAATGTCCTCCTTCTTCTATCACGGGAGAAAATGGGCAGAAGCATTCTGCAAGCACGGGACGTGTCTGAGAAGGGTCTTGCAGGTGGTCACAGTGCTGGAGAACTTACTCAAAAGAAACTAAAGATGAGACGAAGTCCAGTGGAAGTAGTTGAGAGAGAGTTTAGAGAGACAGGGGAAGGCTGCTAGGGCACCTGGGTCATCTCATGGCCAAATACCATGCACTGAGCTGAGGAGGGAGCTGAGGGCTTGGGGAAATCCAGCCACGTGTGTCATGGTTTGAGCTGCTGGGAGCTGAGTGCCTTGGAAACATACTCTCTAGGTCTAACTTCTGCTTCCACTACAGTCAGCTGAGGAGGAAGGGAGAGCCTCCTGTTCTTCAGCAGATGGAGCCATTAAGTAGGTGGCTGGCCAGATGATGGAGGGTTGTTTGTTTCTAATACCCAGCCCTCTTGGCAGAACTGGTTGCTTCAAAACTGGTCCCATGCATTTTAAAGGAGTGTTAAAATCAGTCTGGTTAAGGTGAATTAGTGGAGCCACAGCCAATTCCAGCAGTTGAGAGCTGGACTCGGAGCACACACACCCCTTCCATATCATTTTACTGAAACCCCCAGGGGTAAAATCTCATTTTGTGGGATCCTTAAATTGACTTCAAGAAGCTGTAAAACTGTGGGGATTTTGTCAACTCTTTAATTCCAACACAGAAGCTTCTCTCCTACCAAACGATGCCTCTCAATTGCTCTTTGCACTAGACTAGCCCAAGGGAGGCACATATTCTACATTAAGGATATTGCTCCTTTCCTTAGAAAAGCAGTGGATATGAAGCATGGGAATTTTCTGTGCTGTCTTCTCTTTCAATGTTCTTTTTCTCCTCTACTTTTTTGGGTGTCTGGTTTGTTCTTTGTCCCTCCGTCAGACAGTTCCTTGAGGCACTTGTGATTTAGCTGAATGAGGTTTAACCTGACCACTGCTTTTCTAAGGCCAATAGCAGCAGACCTCAAACCAACCAGAGCAACCAAGGATTTGGAGTGGAAGTGATATCAGGCAAGAGGACCTCACCCATCCCTATTTGAAACACTGTCATCTGTTTAGTGGTGATTTCCCCAGTGTCTTGCTGTGCAGGAGCATGGACACAGTGCATTAGGACCGTGTCATTTACACTGAAAACCCACAGAGATAAAGCCACTGTCAGTGCTACAGAGAGCAGAAGGCAAACCACAGCATTTGCTCATCTTTACAGGTGATGTTAGAAAGGAAGCAACACTAAACTAAACATGAAACCCTCAAAGCTGAAGTCCAGAAGTCTGCCAATAGCAAGCAAACAGCCTGTTTTAGTTAGCCAGGCTATTTTACATGCTGCATAAGCAGAACTGCTGTAGCACAGCAAAGCTGCCAATATCTTTTCATAGGATGCCTGAATGCAGATCTATCCAAAAGCTTATTCCTGCCTCCTGTGTATTTCATTTTAGTATATTTTAGGTCCCTTTCTCACAAAATTTGGACGACTGATTTTCCTCACATCCTCAAAGTTTGTACCTTGCATGTGGTATTAGGAAGCAAGAAAAGATTTTATATATGAAATCATGAACAGTAGGGGTAGATACAATTGCATTAAGGAAGCACATTAATCAGCATCAATTCATACTAATAAGGCTGGTTTAGGGGGGCCTCTGGCAGGAAAATGCTGCTTTGATCATTATCTGTGCACTCTGATGCTAATGCAGGGAGGATGGCAGATGCTGAGAGTGGTTTGTGGGGTGGCTGAATATTCATTATCACTATCCTGGTTGTTCCCAGTCATGGGAGCCTTGGGTACTAGGTACTGCATGAGAGCTGGAAAACAGATGAAGCACAGCTTGGCTTTGGGACTAGGGCACTACTCAGCCCAGAAAACATTCCTGTTACCATAAGACAGTAGTTAACAGCTTCAGTCCACTTCTTTGAAGTATATTGTCACGTTGTCCTTTCTTCTTTTCCCTGAAACTGATTATTTAGCTATAAGGCAAAGCAAAAGCAACAATAAACTGAGCACTTGAATACACTCTGCAGCCAGCCAGGGAGAGGCACTGACACAGGGGCATTTTGCTAATGATGCTGCTCAGTTTAAGTAAGTTCTAGAAAAACAAATCTTTCCTAGAAAAAATGAGGCTTTGTTGTTCAATGTCAGAGGTAAGACACAGAGAGGGAAGTGGTGAGATTGTCTCAGCCAGCTGAGCAGACAGGCTGCTACTGCCAGATTTCCTACAGCAAAGCAGGGATAGGACGCTGTCTTGGAAAGAGAGACTTACGATTAGACTGGCAGAGTCTATATAATATCTATATAGATAATATACATTTATAATATATATTATTGCCCCAGTCTGATGGTGTGGTTGTGGGTAAGCTCACTTCTCTATGCCTTGGTTCCCTCCCCACCCCCTGAGAATGAGAGATGACAGTGCTTTGTCTGCTCTGCATTACTGGGCAGACTTAATTAAATGCTGCAAGACGTTTGGACATAAGGGACGACAGCAGTATAAAATAGATGTTTGAATGGGGCTGGAAGGGGAATGTGCAAGAAAAAAGGTGGTTTTTCCATGTGTGGGAGTTTAATTCCATTTTCTGCAATGCCAGTAGGGACCGGGAAACATGGCTCTGTGTGGGAGAGCAGGGAAACCCTGGGGTATAAAGAGGAGATCTGCTCGCCTTGCACTTCTCCTACAGTAGGATCATTTAGAGGCTGCCTAGTTCCATGAAATCTGCAAATATACTCTGCCAAGCCTGGTTAAAATGAACCGACAGATTCCAAACTTAGCGGAGGATGTGACAACAAACCAGTCCCTGTACCTGCAGAGTGGCAGGACAGAACTGATTGCTTGTGTACACTTGTTACAGTAAGGTCCCTGGATATATAAAATGGAAATAGAGCTCCTGAGACAGAAAAGGTTATTTCATCAGGAGGGTGGTGCAGGTCTAAGGCAGGTCAGTGGAGAGGTGGGGGTATCTCCAGCCATGGTGATCTTCAAGGATTGGGTGGACAAAGCCACAGCTGAT